TAACTATAAACTAATTAACGAATTTAATATAACTGCCACAAAAGCAGCATTTTGCATGCTAGGGATGAAATCTTTCACACCAGTTGAGTAACATTATTTTTATTAATTAATAAATTAATATTTTAAAAAATAATATTTTTTTATTTTTTATAACCTTATCATTTTGTTTAGTAGTGATAGTGATGACAATGACAGTAATTGGTAACTATAAACTAATTAACGAATTTAATATAACTGCCACAAAAGCAGCATTTTGCATGCTAGGGATGAAATCTTTCACACCAGTTGAGTAACATTGAAAAATGCAATTTTGCAGCATCTTGCATATGGAACACACGTACAATCTTGATTAATAGATATTTTCTTCCACCCTTGACGACACCAATCATCATCGTGATTAATATTATATAAAATCAACCAAGAACACTTTTATGTACAATAGATTATAAACAAGCAACACCAGTAAGTAGCACCCAGGGTGTACCCTATCTTCCATGTTGATTTATGTAAGTATATATAGACAGTATTGAGAATTAAGGGTGTTGCTGCGTCCACTCCTGAATTGCAGAACGGAGAGCATGGTTCGGGATGAGAGTGTGGTTTGCAAGTGTATTGTTTGTCATTGGGGATGTATCGTGGCCAGTCCTGAGCCATGTTCGCAATGTCTCTGCTTCATATGTATAGCCATCTGCTGCCATATGAGGATCACTCATGATTTCCTGAAAGTATAGGGAAATAAAATGAATAGTGCATTATTGGATACACAATTGCAACCATAAGTGTTAAGATTTGATCCTCATTCATGAGATGCTCAAGACTCCATGAGGGTTTTGGTGTTTTGCCGGTTGTTCAGAACAACTAATTTAAAAAAGTAACATGCTACCTCCCCTTTTCTTCACGCTTAAGGTCCCCTGAATTCTTTTCCATTTTTCCCCTTTGGGAGTTAAGAAATAGAAACTCCAGAACCACTGAAGACTTTCAGATTTCAATTGTGATTCTTAACTCCAGAAGAAACTTAGTTATTTAGCCGAGCAAATCATAAAATTGCAGAATCTAGTCTCTGCAGATAAGGCACTAAAGAAGAGATATTTAAAAGAATAAACGAGAAAGAAGTGACCTAACCTGTGAGATAGGACAAAGGAAATAGTCTGGAGGCGCCTGATTCTCTTCAGAAACAGGATCAAACGACGGTGAGGCTGCAAAATAGTGTGGAGGCTCCTGATTCTCTTCAGAAACAGGATTAAATGACGGTGAGGCTGCACAAGAGACCCTTATTGCTTCAAGCACCTCCAGTATCTCTGTCTCGAGGTCTGGTCGTCGGCTTCGGTTGACATCACAGCATCTCAAAGCCAAGAAAGACAACCGTTGAGCTTCCTGATATGGCCATCTTCCAGCTGTAGGATCCAGTAAGCTACTTAGATTATCTGAAGCTATTGCATCTTGCACCTCCTCTGCTATATTTTCAGGTGGTCTCCCAGTAAGTAATTGTAATAATACAATACCAAATGAGTATATGTCTGCGCTAGGAGCTAATCTTCCCGTTGTACAAAACTGGGGATCAAGGTAAGGAGATGTGCTGTTTGTCATACTGCTTGTTTCGAGAGAGAGTTCATCCCAAACTCCAATCTCACTAAGTTTGCAGACATAGTTAGCATCAAGGAGAATATTTCCAGGTCTTAAGTTACCATGTACAATGCTGTGATCTCTATTAGAATGAATAAAGAGTAGGACACAGCATAAGTCAGTAGCTATATGAATTCGAGTTTTCCATGAAAGTGGGGGGGTGTCATCATTGCAGCTCAGTCGATCTTCAAGGCTTCCATTGGGGAGATATTCGTAAATGAGAGCTAAAATATCAGGGCAGGCTCCAATAAGAGTAACCACATTTGGGTGTCTCAACTTGCTCAAAATATCAACCTGAAACAAGCAAGTATGATCTTTAATTTTATTCTCCGCCACTATAGGTTTGCCATTATCCTTTTGAGAATATACGGAAAGATAACTCAGGCAATAGTCAGGTCAACATGAGAAATGAATTACAGGAACTACATTACCTCCCGTTGAAATCCAGCGATGCCTTGTGATATATTTGGGTGGAGCACCTTTATAGCCACTTGAGTATGATTAAGGAAACCTCTATAAATGATCCCATAGGTTCCTTCCTCAATCTTCAAGGATGGGTCATATTCATCAGTTGCAGTATGAATATCTGAGACAGAGAACTCAGTAAAGCATTGTTGCGTATGCATGCTTGAGGTCTCTTCCTCTTGGCTTCTCAAAATCTGTTGAGTTAACTGCTTAGCATCCTCAAGCTCCACCTTCAAGTCATCTCGTTCTTCCTTGCATTGTTCTAATTGCTGCTGGAGAGATGATATCTCATCT